GCTGCTGCTGCTGGTGTGGCATCGAATGTCAGTGTCTCTTGTGTGTGCTGTCGTGGCATCCGCACCGTAATTGCACCGCGCCCTGCCGTCACGACGTTAGTGTTCATTGACAAGCATGGCCGCCCTGTGCGCAACGGTACGGAAACGGACCTCTCCCTGATACGCACACGCGATAACAAGTTTTACCTTCAGCGTGTTCTTGAGGGTGGTGAAGTGATTCGCTGGCGGGCACCAGGGCTGGATCATCTGAAGCACGTTACAAACTTTGAGACGTACACACTGAATGAGATAGACGAGTACGGTGGCATTATCATTCCCGCAGACGTAATGCCCACTACGCCTAACGAGCCACCGAGCTATCACGACGCCGTCTATTGCATCAACCGCATGGAGGCGACGCGCAAGTTTACACGCAAGGACCGTCGCCAATGGCATCGCCGTCTGTTCTCGCACTGGAAAGAAAGCCCAGAAAAATACTTCAATCACTCCATCGGCGCGTATGGAATACCGTTTCTGCTGCTGCTATGGATCACGATCCGCGGATTTCACAGCATCAAAAATAACAAGCCTTTCTGGGATGTGAATGTTTACGGCAAGACGGACGAGGAGCGGGAAGCGCGGGATCCGTGGCTGCGCTTGAAGCGCTTCTCCGACCTGCATCCCGAGCATGAGGGTCTCGACATGACTGTGACGATGATGTCGCCGGGGCAGTCGCGGCTGTCGGGCTCGCGGGCGGAGCTGCGTGAATCCGACTTTACCGACCCACACTTTCACAGTGAGCTGTGGTGGAAGATTCGACACCTGCGGTACTATGGACACTGGCCAAAGGGTCTGGCGAAGTAAGGGGCGTGTGTGTGTGTGTGTGTGTGTGTGTGTGCGGTTGGGGCATTAAATGAAGGAGTGTGGAAGTGTTCTGCGTCCCTGTTGTGGTTGCTTCATTCTGGCTGCAGGAAGGGCTCACGATCACGACTCTTTTGCGCGCTGTTTTTCTTTTTTTTTTGTATGAATACGGGTGTTATCGATCCTACAGCATGAAGGGTGTTATTGCCGTTTGCGTGCGAATGGTCATTCTTTGCAATCGTTGTCTCGTGGCGGGCGTGCAGCAACGACAACTTCTCCTTTCCCCCTTGTGGTTTGCTCTCCTGATCTCTGTGTGTGGGTGTACATGTGGCTGGGGGAAGGGGAGGGGCGTCACACAGCCGCTCTTCTTGTGTGTGTGTGTTTTTTTTTCTTTGTTCTCGTGCTTGGCAAGGCGGTTTAACTGTCCATTAGCGTGCACGTGTCGTTGCTGGCGCACTGGAGATGACGCACAACATAATTCGTCGTATTTTCGGAGAGCGTAAGCTGCCGGAGAACCTCAGCGGGAATGATTACGAGCGCTTCATGCAGGAGAATTTCCCTAAGTGGATCCATGAGTTTGAGGAGAGTGGTTTTCTCGAGGCAACGAAGCTGCCGGAAATCAAGAGTGAAGACGAGTTCCTCCAGAAGCTGCAGGAACACAAGAACGATCTCATGGTGATTAAGTTCTGGAAACATGCGTGCATCCCGTGCCTGTCGTTCGCAGAGATGTACAAACAGGTATCAGAGCAGTGCAAGGCGGAAAAGCGCCGCATCGTTTGGTACAGCGTAGACACAAAGGATATCAAGACGCGAGAGCTCGTGGAGTATCAGCTGATTAGCGGCACTCCCACCATTCAGACATTCGGCGGACTGAAGCAGGTAGGGAAAGAGATACGAGCGACGAACGCGGAGGATTTGATGAAGGAGATTGCTTCACGTGAGGCGGCAATGGCGCTATCCTAAGACGACGATACGGGTGTCCCGTATCGTGGGGACTCACACAACCGCGACAATAGCAGTGGTGGTGGTGTGACGGAGAGAGCGCATTGGGTGGGGGCACCACACCTACCGCCAGTGCGCCCCCACACCCTCTGCACGTCTTGTCGCAAGGCCGAAAAAAAGGCGCATGAAACATCGGAAGATGTCATCAGGATTTACCCACAAAGACATGTGGAACTCGCGTTTGATGTTGTTACTTGTCTTTTTTTTTTTTTTT